AATTTATCAAAGAAAGCAAATTTTTTTAGAGGGAGTTTTTTGAGGAGAGAATGGGCATTTGGGTACCGCATGTGGCCGTTCGGGTGATGGACTGATTGGTACCGAGAAAGAGTGAATTGCATTGGCCCCTGGTTTGTTTTCGCCAAGACACGGTTTTGTCGTATTGCGCAAGTTGTATGCCACGTTTCTGGGTGAGGAAAGGTTCATTAGTTCATCATATAGAGAGAGATGTGCTACTGGTTGAAACTTGAAATGCCTTGTAGTTACACACACACGCATCTCGACATATAACTTAATGGCTAGAACCTGGCCTTTCGAACTGGTTCGTATTTTACTGGCGAGTCTTATTATCCCAAGCGTTAGAGGAACCGGACGGCCTTTCCACCCGTCACCGGTCCGACCACGGTTCTCTACCCGAAACGCGGTTCAGGGTTCCAGATAATTGTGGGAACCGAAACCAGACCACTCACAGAATTCTCACCGGTTACCCGGTTCACGATTCCGGTGCCCCGCGTTTGGTTCTACACCACGACCGCTTTCCTGGTTTACGTGTTCCGGGACATGGATTTCGAAAACCGGCTCAGTTTTTCCGATTCCCAAAACAACGGGGTAATACGGGCAAAACTATGTCTATGTCTTAGTTATGGTAAACAAAGGATGAAAACAAGTACCGCACTGGTCTATCGTACAATCACGCGCTAGTTCCTTGAAGGTAGGAAGATTCAATGATTACTTATTTAAACTTTTTATATATTATTTTTTTATTTTTTAAACTTTGTATATTTGTTGTTAGCATGTTTATGCGTGCACGACTAGATTCCATCAACTGTCGATTTCAGTTTCAAAAACATGTCTCTCATTATAGAGCAAATGTGGCTTGAATGGGTATCATCTTATATTAATGTAGTTTCTTATATAGTTTATAATATCTTTTATTTTATTCCAATTTAGACTTTAAATATAAATTTTAATATACCTGTGATCAAAGTTAATTATTCTTTATTTTTAAACCAATCAATTAAAAATCCTTAATGATATTTATTATACCATTTCAGTGTAGAGCGTTGTTCATATAGGTGCCGATTTTTGGTGTGATAATATCTTACTATACTTTTCTTTAGCTTCTAAGAACACAATTAGCACGCGTAGCCCATCCTTACGACTTCTTGAGTTGTTCTTTTCGACTTGCGACAAAGTAGTGTCACTATTTTTGATGGATATGCTAGGGCTGCCACATAAAAACATACACATGTCGTGCTTACGTAAAATATATATATACAATTGAGAATGCAGTTGACGCTCCGCTTGAAATTGATCAAGACTTCTTAGATTTAAACCAGCGGGGGGATGTCACTTAAGTCTTTTTCAATAAATTTAATTCGAACAGAGCTCGAACCAAATTTCGAATCTCATTTAAAATAAATGAAAGTCCGAGCTTAAACTCAAGTTATATTTCTCAGGATGAGCTCAACTTTATTGAGTCGAGTCTGATACTAAAATAGTGCAATAAGTTAAATTTAATTAAAACTTAGGTTAAAACGACACTAATTTTAATTTGAATATTTTCGAACTCGAGCTCAAACTTGACTCTTTTGTAGTTATCAAGCTAAGTTCGAAGCTCACCTGCTTCTTGAAAACAAATGAGCTCCAGCTTTAACTCTAAACGTCGAATACATGTTATATTTTTAAGTTTTATAAGACAAAATTAAATTCTTAATATTCTTAACATAAATGGAAATTGGAACAAATGCATTTTTCATCGTTTTTTAACTATCATTTCCTCATCACAATAGATTTATTTTATTTATCTGTCTTAAATTGTAAGCCATTCTTTCTTTTCTAAAACTACAATTTGTTTCTTATTCTAATTTTCCAATAATTTTTTTATGTCAGTTCTTTATTTAGAAAGTAACATCTAATAAAAATAAACTTTATGAACCCGAGGCGAGTATGTTAGAATTCCTTTCCAGTTTTTGAAAAATGAACATTCCAAAATTTCAATGCACAAGTATAACAAATACATTTTATTTCTCCCTTCCGGGTTCTTTTCCATCTCCCATGCTCTGTCCCCTTGCTAATTTTGCTATCAAAAAGACAGCGTAGGAGATTATTAATACGTTTTCTATCTCACGTTCAACCTCGCAAAGCTGAGTGGTGCATGGAATCCAGAATCTACCCCACCCGAAGAAGAGGAGCAATAACCAACGAAACAAGAAGCTGCCCATGAATGGCATCCTGCACACCATCCTTCTTGCACCGGCACATGAGGTCACAATCGCCTTTTATGCCTAAGTAGTTTCATAATTTTTAGTTCGTCCGTCACCGATATTGTTTTTGAAGTTAAAATTTTGAAGTTAAAATTTAATGACTATCTAATAAATAAAACTATGTATATTGAACGAATCAGTTGAAAGTTAGGTTTTCAAATTTCCAGTTTGGTTTGGAATAATGGTTGACAGCTTTTTGTAATGATCAACGCTTAAGTGTACTTACATACCATGCGTTGTTATACTGGATTTCCTCTATTAAGTGTGTAAGACACTCGTGAAAGCTATAGCTAATGGATGATTATTGGTAATCGCTCTTCCATTCTCTCGCTAGTTTAAATTCGTTTCTGTTTTTTAATTGGGTTGGTGTCTGAAGTTGACATTTACTAATCGTTCCTTGTGGCAAAAAACTATGTATACTTGAAGCGAATTACTGAAGCTAGGGGCTCTTTGCCACTTTCAGTTCTGGTTATTGTTTTGATTTGGCTGTTATTGTCAAGTTTTTTGGATACTCAAAAGTTTTTGTGTGCTTCTCAACATTTCAAATTCTAATGCAATTCACGTTTTTTATTTCTTATTTTTAAGTAACTCATTTTTAATAAACTGAATTTGCAATTGTTGGTTTTAAAATGTTGAATAATTTTTCCTATTTAAATTTGATAATTAATTATCATTGTGCAGTTATCTTTGACATTTCTACTACCAGTCTGACTTCCTAGTTATCATATAACCGGTTTTCATTTAGATACTGGAATACTTTATTCCTCTCCGAGAGTGTGGATGAATAATCATAATGCTAAGGGAGTTGACTTGGCTATTTATGGGGGTCTGAGAGGTGCCTAAGATTACAACTCGCGAATGTATGCATGAGCACGCTTCCATACTAGAGACGCGAATTCCAGACACATTGAGTGAAGTAGGTGAGATATACCTCGCACAATGTTGGTTGCAATGAGTGTTCAAAAATCTTGTTCTTGTTCTGTATGAGTGGGAAAAGATCATGGCTTCCCCTCTCATCCGCAACTAGCCTGCTGGTTGTCTTAGCAGAAGCCAGAGACTTGGGAAGAATATTGGTTGCATTTTGGGGGACTCTTTGCTTGCAAGTAGACTCATGCAGAGTTAATGGTACTCTGCGTCGGCCTTCTTCTTTGCATTGGAAATATTCACACCCTTTCTTTGTTTGGTATGGAAATCATGGAATTTATGATATAGGATTGCCAATTTTAAAATTGAAGCTATCTTGATCCACATTTGCATTGAGGATTTTATCTGGTTTTACTAGATTCTTGAATGTTGATTGCTTTCATTGTTTTAACTCTTGAACCCACTGTCCGCACCCAATTTGTGTAAGTAGCATTGAATTTATTCACATGCACAGCAACCGGGCATCACGCAATGGTGTCTATTATATATACACAGGGGCACTAGATAGTTTATTGCGATAAATACTCCCGGCTTATGGTGGCCGCATCATTTAACTTTGGTCCATACATAAACATTACCACGGGAGTGGCATCTTCACGCCTAGGAATGGATTAGTTTCCATTGGTTTGAATTTTACCTAAATGGGTATCATTATTATTTAATGCACCGGCTGGAAAACCTTGATATTCTTGAAGTGCTTCCCTGGCTCACCTTAGGGTTTCACCAATCCGTACGCAATTATGGTGGCAACGGAAATTACCTTTCTTTTTTAAATCCTTGCATTATTAATTTGGAAGTTCATCTTTGCTATATTAACTTTTTTTGGGGACCATTTTCTATTTTTGGTCTTGTTTCCAATGAATTTTGCGAGTTTGAAGACTGTGTTATTACCTGCATTTGTTTAGGAAGATCTGGCCTGGGCAATCATCGGAAACCTAGCCCTGCCATGAAGTTCCAATGAAGCATCGTAGTCTCGACAATGGACTGAACGAGATAATTGTTTATCAATTATTTTTAGATTGACACCCCACGTCGCCCTTTGTTTTTGAAGCGTGTCGGTATCGTTCTTCTTAATTTTCCTTCTTATCTTTGCTATCCGTCGTTTCTTGAATTGAGAATACTCTTGGTCTTTTTTCGTTTTATTCATTATCATTTGGTATTGACAACACTTCCTCTGTATATTTATTGAAGAAGTCCTTGTTTGTATGGTACGATATAATGGTGCAACTCATCATATCCTGCATCCTTTCACATAATTTATTCTTGTAACTAAAGCTGTCCTAGTTGCTTGTGAAATTAATGCTATGGGAATTGGTTATAATTCATCTAGAACATACATGTACCTAGGCATGATGTCATTCTTCTTCGTTCTTTGCTCTTTTCTCTTTTTTTTTTTTTTTTTTTTTACGGTGATAACCTTTCATAAATTCGAAAAGCTTTTTCATGTGCATCGGTGATTCAAAACATGAAAACAGGCCAACACTTACCCTTTGGATATTTTATTGGAAAAAAAAAGCGCATTCACGTTTGTTTATACTTCATTCTTGTATGCCAGGGGAATGAGACGATGGTGCATCATATCTATTCCAATACATTTGACATTTAGATATCCTTGTAATCAAAAATTTTTTATAGTTGCTTTGAAAATTAATGCCAATTGAAAGTTGTTATCATAACTTGTTATTCATTCCAGATACATGACCTACATGCACGTATTCATGTGATAGTGATCTATTGGTTCTTAGGTAAAGCAGTCTTTTTTACAGTCAATCATCTGACGCAGGTTTTGACTTTGGTCTTCCAAGTGACATGTGGTATACTGGGTTGAGGCACTACAGTCCTGAAAATATTCTGGGCCGTGTTATGCTGGGTTGCAGAAAATACCTTGAACTCCAGCTTTTAGAAAAGGTAGGGAAAACTTTTATTCAAGATTTTTCATATATGGATTCTGACAAATTGTGTGTGTGTTGGGTGGGGGGGGGGGGGCGGGGGGGGGGGGGGGGGAGCAGACAGATGCTCTGTATATGTGTGTTTAAGCTGTAGCAACAATATGTGGGGTGAAACAGTTTCCAGAGCCCTTAGCTTTTATCAAAATGGGTATCATTTCATATGAATTTGAGAAATTCCATCCTAGGATCCACAAAATTGGAAGCTTTTAGGGGGATGTTGCTGACTTTTCCATTGGATTGTTTTGTGGACTTAATGGAAGCTGCAGGGATAAAAGTGTGGAACTCAAGATTTTGTTACTATTAGTACCAAAATGGAGTCCTTTAGCTGCTTCATATAGTGGATTGTGTAAAACAGTAAACAGATTATAGGGTTGAAATGAGTTAAGGTAAAAAAACTTCAAGAATTTAAGACAAAATTGGTTATTAGGTCATACAATTTTTTTTTTTTTTAATTTTTATTGGATCATTGATGACTCCATGATGTGACTGCAATTGATTACCCAGTGTGACGAGAATGAGCAAGTGTTAGCTTCTCGTATGATACCTGAATATCTTAAAAGTTTAATTAAATTTTGAATATTTCATTAAGTTATAGTTGGTAAATCTTTGTGATAACAAGAATTAAGTTGGCATCTTCATTCAAATACAAAGTACTCACAAAGAAAGCCTTTGTGCGAAAATCTTGCTCAACTCTCACATTGAGATCAATAGAATCCATAAGTTAAAATGTTTTTAATTTGTTAAACCTGTCTTAGTATTTTTGTTTTGTACACATGCGGGATGTTTTGTGCACTGGATCGCCCTTGTTTTTTTTTTTTACAAGTTGGAGTTATAACATTTTCTGTTTGTAGCTTTGTCATACACTGTTAGTTCTTTATTTGATTAACTTGGGTTGTATCCTCTACCTAAAGAAGGTTCTTTTTAACAGGTTGTGGAATTATTATCAGCTATACTTGAAAGTGAGAAAGTTTCATCTATTCTTCTTCCATCTCTGATGAAGCTGGGTTTGACAAATTTATTGATCAATCTATTGGCTTCTGAAATGAGCACATTGACAGGTGAAAGGATACCTGAAAGGTATAAGTTGATTAGATTTAAAGGGCTGACACAGTCAATGACAGGTTGAGTTTTTCAGATGTGAAAAATTGTACTTCTACATCTGTTTGTATTTAATGTCATTGAAGAAACTTACCTATGATATATGATAAATTATTCCCTGATTTTATTGTTTTCACGCTGCCTCTTTTCTTTTTAATGTCACTTGGTAAAGAATTTAGAAACTGCCGTTACCATAATTTGTTTTGAATTTCATTTTAGCTTATATTGCATTAGCTACTGAACTATTTTACGGATCGCGTACTCTTTGTTCTTTTAATATGCATTTGTACATCCTAGGACTATGTCTGATGTATACGTCTCTGTAACCATGATTGTTGCTACATGTTTCTTACTAGCATATAATTTTTATTTCTAAATCATTTTTTTTTGTAATCATACCTGAATTTGTTTTGGTACTTTTGCCCTTACTGATTCATTTATTTATACAATCTATAAGTAGCTAATCGGTTAATTTAGCTCCCCTTGCTATTGATGGTAAGTGTTCTGGATTTGCCACTACAGCAGAACTATCATTAATGTCTGTACACTAGCTAGCAGCAAAAATTGCAATACTGAGGGTTTTTGTAGTAATTTAATCATTTGTTTTTATTAAGTTGGTCATTTCTCTTGTTATAACTGCTTCCTGCGAACATTTTGACCCTTCAGGCTTCTTGGTTTAGAAATAGTTTTCCTGAGGCACTCAGAATTTCTAGATTTATGGAAAAGTTTTACATATCATGTTTTCCTTCTGCAGTATATTTTCCGAATGCATTTTGAATTTTGCTCATGTGCTATTACATTTTCTCCCAAATATGCATTTCTGGTTGTTTTGAGTTTGATATTCAATCTATTACTGTTTCAGGTATGTTGTTCTTGATGTTATTCTTCGTGCAATTGAAGTTATTTCCACTTTGGATGGCCATTCCCAAGAAATCTGCTCTAATAAGGAACTCTTTCAACTAGTTTGTGACCTCGTCAAATTCCCGGACAAAGTAGAGGTATATTCACAGGCTGGGTTTATGGAATCATTAGTGGTTCTGTTATCTGTGTTTGATGTTAATGCTTTATTGCTGGTAACCTGGAGCTTTTTATGCCATTGACAATCTAAAGTATTGGACTACTAAACTGGCCGTATATTGAGAGTTTCTTCTCCTTTAAACTGTTTTGATCATGAAGCTTCTTGGGCTAAAGAGATTTGTATTTACATTAGAAAAGTTTGATTAAGACAAATTTTTTTGACAATTTGTTGATGTGGATTGCTAATTTGTTGAATTTCCTGTATTATTAAATTTTCACAAAGCTTTAACATACTATTTTGGTCTGGCTGAGAGTTGTTATTCTAGTGGGTTTAGTTTCTTAGTAATTTTTACCGTTCATTGAGGCTTTAACTAGTTTGATTCACCTTGGTAATGTGTTTTTTTTTCTTTTGGAGACCACCTAAAATAATAAAGTGGCTTTTTAACTTCAGTTTGCTTCCTGACATGGAAATGGACTGAATGCTTGACAATTCACTTGCGATTACTGAATTACTTGCATAAATTTATAGCTCTTTTAAAAATATTTGCTAAAGGAGCTCCTCTAACATATCCTCATCAACAGCTTATATGCTTGACAATTCATTTGCAATTACTGAATTACTTGCATAAAATTTATAGCTCTTGTCAAAACGTTTGCTAAAGGAGCTCCTCTAACATATCCTCAACAACAGCTTATATACAGGATTTTGCATGTTTTCATACTTGTTACTTCTGTTAACAGAATGTTCATGCTATAACACGGATATGTCCCAGTTCTTCTAAGTTCTTTGTCTATTTTCATGGTGAATGAAAATAGAAAGGATTATATAAAATTGATGAAAAGTGACCTCTCTGCTTCCTCTTCTTATGATTTGTTCAGACAGTAAACTAATATAAGTGCAAAGTCCTCTGCGATGATTTAGACTTATGGAGTTTGTTTAGGAATTGAAATATGATTCCACTCTCATGATGTTCCCTGTTGGGATATGATAGTACTTTGGGACTTAATTGTATTTTGTTTTCAAGTTAGTGTTTTAATTTGTAAGAGACTCTACTGAGTTGTTAAATATGTGCCTGTGTGGCAATAGAAGATTGTGTATGCCATATCAGCAGTAGTATATTAATGACTTGTCTTTTCAAGTTAGTGTTTTAATTTGTAAGAGACTCTACTGAGTTGTTAAATATGTGCCTGTGTGGCAATAGAAGATTGTGTATGCCATATCAGCAGTAGTATATTAATGACTTGTCTTGCATTAATCAATTATCAATGAAGAATACATTTTTCCTATCTCTCTTCTTCTCTCTCTCTATCTTTCCTATCTCTCGTCTTTTCTCTTCTTGTCTTGCATACACATAATCTTCTTTTGCCACACAAGCACATATTTAACAACTCAGCATAATCTATTACAAATTAAAGCAATAACTTGAAAACAAAATGCAATTAAGTCCCAAAATACTATCATATCCCAACATTCCCATTTGGTGATAATTTCCCCCTTTTGAATAATCAAGCTTGCTATCTACACTCATGAATAACATCTTTCTTTCGTAAGTTTTCTCCAAGTTTATGTGCCTTCCAATTACACCAAAAGTGCAAAATGAAGATTTTTCGGCAATAACTAGAAGTGGGTGGGAAAGTTGAGATCTTTCAGCAGTAATAATTGATATAATTGATACGTAAATAAGGATATTTCTCAGGAGTTAAGACAAGAACGATAATTCTGACTATTGAGATATAATCTAATATCAGTGTTGAGTAGGCATGATTTAAGTTGGTTTGTTGCTCTGTTTTGTTCATTAATTTGACTTGAAGTGGGGGAATGTTGCCCTTTTGCTTTGTGTTTTCTTATGTTTTCCCATGTGATTCATGGTCATTACTTCCATTTTTCTTTCTTTCTTTTTTTTTTTTTTTTTTTTTTTTTTTTTTTTTTTTTTTTTTTTTTTTTGTCATATACTTCCATTTTCTCTTCTTTCTTTTTTTTTTTTTTTTTTTTTTTTTTTTGTTTTTTTTTTTTTTTTTTTTTTTTTTTTTTGAAAGAGAAAAGTGGGATGGTACATGACTATTGTGTGAATCTTTGCAATGACTCTCTTTTTTTTTTTTTTTTTTTTTTTTTTTTTTTTTTTTTTTTTTTTTTTTTTTGACAGAGAAAGTGGGATGGTACATGACTAATTGTGTGAATCTTTGCAATGACTCTCCACCATTTTCCCGTTTTGCAGGTTGCCAACTCTTGTGCTACTGTTTCAGTTTTAGTTGCAAATATTTTGTCTGATGTACCTGATCTTGCTTTGGAGATATCACATGGTAAGTTGTATATGTTTCTCATTATTAGCATTTCTTATTGTACGAAGCCCTTAATTGGACTGGAGCTGACACCTTGGATATTTCCAGATTTGGCTTTTTTACAGGGTTTGCTTGATATATTTCCTTTTGCATCTGATGATTGTGAAGCACGGAGTGCACTCTGGAGCATTTTTGCAAGGTTACTGGTTCGAGTAAAGGAAAATGAGTTGGACCTATCAACTCTGTGTCAGTATGTGTTGGTTCTAGTAACGAAAACTGACCTGATTGAAGATGATCTTCTTGACCAACAACTAGATGATGCCAGCAAAGAAACCAAGATTTCAATCAGTTCCGATATAAAATCAAATACCAGAAATACAGCTGTACCCCCTTCTATTCGCATAAATTTGATTTGGAATCTTTATGCACTATGTTTATATGTTTCTGCTATCATATGCGTTCTTGCAATTTTTTTCCTTGACCATTGTAATAGCTTCAAAGAATAGTCAGCATTTTAAATCGCTGGACTGCCCTAAAGGACTCTCACAAGGTGGAGGATGTAATGGAAGAACATTATGCAATTGAAGTAGATGTTGGCAGATTGTTGGATTGCTGTCGTAAACATATCATGTAAGTTCTCTCTCTCTCTCTCTCTCTCTCCCCCTATCACTCTCTCCATCTTCTGCAGTTATTACTCATAGCCGATGCCTCATCTGGCCTTGATTCTTGAGAGTCCGTGTTTCTTTTAATCACAACATATTTTCGATGATAATTGGCACAGGTAAGAACTTTAAAATGTCTTGTTACAGACTTATGGTCTTTGGCATTGTTTATTCGGTGTAGTATTTGTTTCTAAGCTGCAAAATGTTACAAGAAAAGATGTGCGATGTGCCTGTGGCATGCCTGGAGAATGGCATCGTTGAAAGGCTTAACGCGCTGTAGCTGTATATCGCTTCAATGCCTTAAAGAGAGTGGATAAGAATTTTAGCATCAGTTACCATACCTTAAGCATCAACCTACTTTTATGTATTACAAATATCTGAGTTCCAAGCAATGCTGAGGGCATCTTTTGGAACCCATTTGTTCGTACTGAATTATTTAGGAAAACTAATCACCTGACCAAAGCGGCTTTGGGCTGCCTTAAATATGAATTGCCTATATTGAACACTCCTAATCCATTACAGGAAGTTCTAAAAGGAAATTCTATTGCTAAGCCTCAGTTAGCATGTGATGTATTGTTAATTGCATAATTATAGCAGCTGTTGGTTGAGGAAAAAATTTTGGACTTGTTTCTGATATTATGGGTGAACCTTTATGGCTGACTGATAAATTCCTGATTCAGGTAAATGGATATTTTGGTATTTGGAGCTCATTCAAAAACACAGCACAAAGTCCCAGTACACTGTAAAGCTTTGAGGAAACTTCTCGGAATGTAGTAGCGAACAATCAAAAATCAACTCAGGCAATAGCAGAAGCCGGGTGCTGCTCCTGGTGGTGTCTTGTTAAAGGAATCCAATCAAAAAGGATAAACACAAAATTTACTCGTTCTAAGGATACTCTTAGGGTATATTTGGCAAGTCTTAGTACAATGTAGTATCAGTGATGTCTGGATCCTTTTTTTCCCCCTCAAATTTTGCCTCTTCAATGTGGTGCATGTGAAAGCATATACAAATTGAAACATGAGATACTGTAACTTAATGTTATAATCTAAGTATTTTCGCAAATATGATCCATCAACTTTTATTTTTTAGTTATTTATTATAGCATGAGTAAGATTTTATTCTTTATGCTCAGATATCATAGCCTTTGGCTTGAATGTAAGAGAACAAGGCCTGAGGTGCAAAGGGTTGGAATGCAGCTCGCCCACATTGGCGAGCCAAGTGAAATGAAGGTTATTTTGTTTTATGCTCGTATTACTGATTTAATAAGGGGGGTCTCACAAAAAATAAAAGAAAAAGTCCCCGAAAAAGAAATGAATAAACTTCTAAATGTTGTAACCTTCGCAATTGAATATGAAAAAGCATAACAGTTCATCAGACTCAAATGTGACAGGATTTTACAACTCTACGCAAAAATAATGTTGAAGACGCAAATCAGCTCAAAGCAATAGATTTTTTGGGATTGCATCAATTTAGGGTCAAATGGGCAAAATCAGCGAAGAGTAATATAATTCACTTCCTCCAACTCTAAACAACTCTATACAGAACATTATAAATAATAAAATTAGTGTTTTGACCATAGTCAAACGCTAAAAGTTACTTCAAAAATTGCCAAAAATGGCCTTACAATAATCTGTTCATCTCTCAAATCTGAAAACCAAAAAACGCTGCTATCTAACAAAAATTAGAAGATAAAACTATAACACAATTCTTTTTAGATTACGGTCTATCAACAAATCACAAGCTGCTTGTCACCCCTACTAGGCAATAATGCACTTTGATCCACAATTTTTTTTGCAATCATGGGTTGATCAACCTCTTTTCTTCTAAACAAAAGGCTTCAACTCACATGAATTCTTCAATCAAGGGTTGGTAGAATAACTTATAAGCTTCCATTACTTCAAGATACCACATGGCTTCTCGATCTGGAAATGGTGAAAGATCAACAATCTTATGAACCTGATAATTAAAAAGAAAAAGAAAAGGCAAAAACAAAATTGAGAGCACAGTATTCGAATATGATGGTGAAATCAAATTCCATATGAAATCAAGGGATAAAAATAATAAAACTACTCCTTAAATCCTCACATACAAATCGTTTATGCTTTAAACTGTAATCAGAACAGGCTTTTTTGAAATGAAATTTTTATAAAAAGACAATTGCCTTATGAAACTCACTTTCGCTGCTGCTTCGGTGGGTTCCCTTCACCAACCCACTGCCTAATTGGAAAATCAATTCCAAAGCAAAACAACAACTCAAATTCTCTCCATTATAACCAACCATTCAATTTATCTAAAGTGAAACAATCATTATTGGTTATATACAAAGGTCATATACAAAGGGTAAAATTGAAAAAAATAATTTATTATTTATGAAATCCACAAATGAGTATTTGGGAATATATTACTTTTTCAAATATGAAAGGTATTTGGAAACTTAGGGATTATAATTTCTTCTTGTACAATTGGGATATCAAATAAATTATAAATTTGGGGAACTAATAATAATAATAATAATAATAGTTTAATTATAAGTATAATTATTATTATAGAATTTAGTAATTTACCTTAATCATGGGAGTCTCACCAGTTCCTACAAAATATCCACCCACTACCATCACATACATCCCTGGAGAAAACATACAAATAAAATTATTTAATTAGTTGCAAGAATCCTAAATGCATAAGAAAAATTATTTAATTTAGTTATAATGTTACTGAAATGCACCAAAAAAAAAAAAAAAAAAAATATAATTTTCTTCTTTGTAACAATTGGGATAACTCAATAAATTATAAATTTTGGAAGGAACTAATAATAATAATAATATAAATAAGTTCTTAATTATAAGTATAATTATTATTATAGAATTTTAGGTAATTTTAACCTTAATCATGGGAAGTGCTCACAGCTTCCCTACAAAATATCCACCCATCTAACCATGCCACATACATCTGCCCTGGAGAACCATAAAAACATAAAATTTTTTTATTGTTGCAAGAATCCCTAAATGCATAAAAGAAAAATTATTTATTTAGTTTATAAATATGTTACTGGAAATGCACCAGAAAAAAAAAAAAAAAAAAAAAAAAAAAAAAAAAAAAGTAAAGGGAAGAGAAGAAACCTATATCCCAACGGCGTTGACGGAATTCACCGGAAAGTGAAAGTTGGATAACACCGGTACCATCATCGAGAAGCAGACGGCCTTCCCCGTCGTCGGAAACCAGAATGCCCTGTATAAGATGCACAAAAACACGATTATAAAAACACAAGAGAAGCAAATGGGAGAGATAAAACATAGTAAATGATAGTTTAATATAAAACCTGTAACCAGGCGCGTTGAAAGAGAATGCCACCGAGAGTTAATGCATTTTGAGAAGGAGTTTCGCGCGCGTCTTTCAATTGTACACGCAGCAGCTTCAACGCTGCTAAACGGTAATCCATCTCTCTCACTATTCTCTTTCTTTGACTGTAATCTGGAATCGAGTCTTTAAATGTCCATTTAAAAAAATTGACACGACGTCGTTTAGTAGGGAAATCTTTCCCTCTCTAAAAGAAAAATTTCTCTGAAAGGAAACTCTTCCTTATCGTTCAAATTTGAAAGGTGACGTTCGAGAACAGCTTTAAAGGATAGAATTCTGA